CTAGAGGGGGGAAACGCGGGTTGGACTGGGCGGTGGAGCCCCAGCTTGTCCCCCTTTGCCGGCAGCATGAGTTCCGCCTGAGCAGCGGGCTGAACCCTGGGCTCGTCCGCTCCCTGGCTGTCAGCCCCAGTGGCCGGAGCGTCGTGGCCGGCTTCTCCTCGGGCTTCATGGTGCTGCTGGACACCCGTACGGGCCTGGTTCTGCGTGGCTGGCCTGCCCACGAAGGGGACATCCTGCAGATCAAGGTGACGGGCCAGGGCCCCTCCCCTCCTGCCTGACTGCTCCAGCCCTCGCCTCTGCTTAGGGTCCACCCAGGACGGGCCCCCTGCTGATGTCCTTCATACCTGCCGGAGGACTGACAGGCAGGGCGGGTCAGGAGCCAGGCTGCACCTCAGGGACTTGGGCAGGAGGCGGGCCCCGGGGGCGGGAACCAGGCGGCCGAGCTGACCCTGAGCTTCCTGGAGATGTTCTAATGAGTAACCCTTGTCCATATTTGTCTTACTTGGGGGATCAGGGGTCAGGCCCTGTCCGTGACCCAGTCAGGTTAAATAAAGCTCAGCTGGGAGGCTGTTTACTGCCCCCAGACCACTGAGCAGAGTCCATGCCCCTTTCTGGGCTAACCTGGTGGGGGAAGGGGCGGGTCAGGCCTGGGAATCCTGCTCCCACCTCCACCCCCGCCCCGTTTTTTCAGTCACAGACTTCAGGGAGGTCCAGGCAGGGAGGAACCGGGGCTATTTGTGGGAGGGTTTTTCCAGGCAGCTGGGAGTTCCTCCCCGACCTAAGTGGCAGCCAGGGGACATGCACTGCTATTGTTGGGGGCTGGGCACCCCTGGCTGCCTCCAGGGCCCCCTGGGTTCTGTCGTTGTTCAGTCACTCAGTTGTGTCCAGCTCTTTGCGACCCCATGGACTGCAGCACGCCAGGCTTCCCTGTCCTTCACTTATCTCCTGGAGCGTGCTCAAACTCATGTCCACTGAGTCGGTGATTCCATCCAACCGTCTCATCCTCTGCTTCCCCCTTCTCCTGCCCTCAGTCTTTCACAGCATCATGGTCTTTTCCAATGAGCTGGCTCTTCACTTCAGGTGGCCAAAGTATTGGAGCTTCAGCATCAGTCCTTCCAATGAATATTCAGGGTTGATTTCCTTTAGGATTGACTGGTTTGATCTGGGTTCTGGGTGCCTCTAAATTTTGACTTTCCAAGAAAGCATCAGGAGGTCAGCCTGGGTGTTAGTCCTGGGTCTGCCACCTACTGGCTCTGTGACCTTGTATGATGACTTAACTTTCCTGAGCCTTAGTTTTTTTTTCTCTGTAAAATGGAAACAACAGCACCTATCTCATAGTGTTGTTATGAAGATTAATTGTGGTAAGATGTTTAACGTGCCTGATATAACACCTGACGTAGTAAGCGCCCAAGTTACAATGATGACTGGGTCGATGATACATTAATATATTCATATGAGCTGACATTAATATAATGTGGGAGGGTGGCAGCCTGTCCCTGACTCAGGACGACACATCTTCCTGGGAGGAGATGTGGGAGAGAACAGGAAGACTCCGGCCCCCCGCTGAGGCTCTCCCCTCTCCCTGGCAGGCAGTGGAGGGCAGCGTCCTGGTCAGCTCCTCCTCCGACCACTCCTTGACGGTCTGGAAGGAGCTGGAGCCGAAGCCCACGCATCACTACAAGTCAGCCTCTGACCCCATCCACACCTTCGACTTGTACGGCAGCGAGGTGGTGACCGGCACCGTGGCCAACAAGATCGGCGTCTGCTCCCTGCTCGAGCCGCCTTCCCAGGCCACCGCCAAGCTCAGCTCTGAGAACTTCCGCGGCACGCTCACCAGCCTGGCCTTGCTGCCCACCAAACGCCACCTCTTGCTGGGCTCGGACAACGGGGTGGTCCGCCTCCTGGCATAGGCTGAGGCCAGACCTGGTCAGGCGGAGGCGGGCACACATCCTCCAGGAGGCCGTCCCTCACCTTCTTTCCCCAGCAGCTCATTCCTGGCAAGCCCCAGGCCCCACGCCCTGGGTAGCCACGTGGCCTGCCAGCTAGGGTGGTGTGGGAGTCTGGGCTCCTGAACCCCCAGAGCCACTGAGGCCCCCAGAGGGGATCTCATTGATGACTTGGGGCCATGCTGCTTGGAGCCAGCAGGAAGCAGATGAGAGAGCCTGGCAGGGGCTTCCCTGGTGGCCCAGTGATTAAGATTCTGTGCTTCCACTGTAAGGGGCATGGGTTCGATGCCTGGTCGAGGAGCTAAGAGCCCACATACAGAATGGTGTGGCCAAGAAATAAAAATTAAAAATTTAAAAAAAAAAAAGAGGGAGAGCCTGGGAAAGCACTGCTGCTCTCCTTTCTCCCCAGCTCGGCCCTCTGTGTCCGCCTGGGGACAGGATGCTCTGGGTAAGGGGAAGGAGACCTCCTGCTAAGCTGTCTCCACCATAGCCCGCCTCCAGCTGGCTCTCTCTGACCCTGTCCTGCAAGGATAGGGAAGCTGCTCCAGTCCAGGACACTGACGGTGCTTGGACTCCAGCCTCTAAGGGCTGACCACGGTCTAGGAGTTAAGAGCCTTGGGCTGGGCTCTTAAGCGTCCACCCAGCCAGGCCCTGGCCAGTGTGGGACCAGTAGGGGAAGAAAGAGGGCAGGACCAAAGGAGGGCAGATGGATGGGGCCAGGTGGTGCCTGCTTGGAGTGACCCCACACCTTGCCTGCCTACCCCTCACCACAGTGTTTGTGCCTTGAGCTGATGAGGCAGCCTCTGGGTCCAGAAGCCTTGGGGGAGGGGGTCCAAGACCCTGAAAGAAGGGGCGAGAAGAATCCTCTCTGCATCTCAGGTCTCCCTCCCCCAGGGGGACAGGAAGACCCAGGTTTCACAGGCCCTCACGTTCTGGAGCATAGATGAGGTCTGAGGCTGGACCCCTGATGCCTTCTCACTATTTGCAATAGATGTAAATATGATCAATAAATCCTGTGGAAGAGCCATGGATCCGAGTGAGGCTTTTCTTGATGGTGGTGTTGGGAGGAAAGGTTGGGACCCCGCAGCTTCCAGGACAGGGAGGAGGAGGGGAGGCATCCTGACCGTGGCTCTTCAGGCGGTTACAAGGTCCACGGCTTCTGGTTCATGCAGGCCAGAACCCTCACCCTGAGGAGGGGAAGGAAGCATTGCTTCCGAGGAGGTGGGATGCTAGGAGAGGCTGTGTCCCTAGCCGGCATCTTGTCTCTCCCCTCCCCCTGCCTTCTGGTCCCAGGCTGGAGGCAGCCAACCAGGAGCTGGGACATGGGAGGACCAGGGATTTGCATCCTGCATCCTGATCCAGGTCTCATCCCTTGCCTTTTGCAGCTTCCCCTTCCCTCTTCTTGGGAGGGGGAGGCAGTTCTGAGGAAGAGGTGAGACACTGGAAGCCGGAACCTGAATGTGACTCTCAGCCCAGCTCTACGTCCTTGACCAGGTCACACAGCTTCTCTGAGCCTGACTAAAGTGGGGATAACCCCCCACTTCACGGGTCACTGAAAGTCCTGTCCTTGGATCTAACCCTCCAATTGAAGACAGCCTCTTTGACTGTCTCCTGAATCTCCTTTCTCCAGGCTCAGGTGGGACCCACCTCTCCCGGGGTTCCAGTTGGCTGTCCCAGTATTAGATGCCCTGGTGGGAAAGGGGCTTTTGGTCCCAGTATCAATGTTTAACCGGATGTGCAGGTCAATATTTACCAGAAGAGAAGGCAACTGGAACAGTGGTTGGCTGAGAGCAAAGGTCCTGGTGGGAGGGGAGGGCTCGGCTGGGCTGCCTGGAGCCGGGGCAGAGCGTGGGAGCACCAAGCGGGGCCGGAGGGACGTTGTGTACAGCAGTGAGGAGCCTGCAGAGGTAAGGGTGGGGGGGAGGGGGGTGCCTTGGCCTGGATCTGCCTACCTTGCTGAGAGGGTCTGGACTGAGTTTATTCAGGAGGTTTGTGACTTCCCAGCCTCCTGAGATGTTGAGGAGCCAAGGTTGGGGCTTTCAGGGGGAGTCTCTTTGGGAAGTGAAAAATCGGAGGTCTTTTTCTTGGCAGGAAGATTAAAAAACCCAGGTTGGAGATGGGGCCCTGGCCAAGGGTCCTTGTGTGGGATGTGGAGGGGGCCAGGGGTGAGGGAAGGACATTTGAGATGGGGGCGGGGTGGGGGTGTGTGCGAGACCCGCTCTGGGGCCAGACCGAGACCTGCCCATCCCCACCAGTCATCCTGGCTTCCCGGAGTCAGCTTGGGGCTAGAGCGGGGGCTGAGGCCTGTGTTTTCCGTAAGTCCAAAGGTGGCTCTGGCCACAGTCATTCATTGGGCTCTGCTGTTGGGTCAATAAGGCCAGTCTCTGGCCCAGCTCACCACCCCTGCTGAGACCACAGGCCTGCCCACCCTTGTGGATAAGACCAGGCCAGCCAGAAAGGGAGGTTGGATAGGAGCTCTGGGGAGGGAATTCCAGTACAGAGCAGGCTTCAGGACGGGCCTCCCAGAAGAGGGGCCTGGGGAGGCTGACGAGCCATCACTACGTACCGGCCTGTGCAGTCAGGTCTCACCAAGACCGAACTAGGTTAGTCTCCACAATTCATGTGGGAGGAGGAAGGGACTTTTGCCACCATTTTACAAGATAAAGCAGAGCCCAGAGAGTTTAAGGGACACGTCCTGGATCCTCTGCCAAGAGGCAAAGCCTGGATTCAAACCCAGGTCTGACTCACAACTCCCGGCCTTGAGGAATGGGGACTTTTTCTGTTTGGGTAATATTTTCCGCCATGAACCAGAACACTTTCAGGGCATACAGTGTAAAAAACCAGAAAACACAAAAGGGGAAAAAAGCAATTCAGGAGAGAGTTCGAGCAATTCGCAGCTCAGAGAGGCACACCGTGGGCGTGGGTACTGCAGCTGGCGTTGTCCCCTCTGCAGTAATGGCTCAGGACTGCAGCTGCCCATGAGCCTGTGGGTGGGATTCCTCAGCGGGTGTGGGGGTGAGGCAGGAACAGAGCCTTCCCGTCCCGCACAGGAACATGGCGCTGCTCTGGGGGCTCCTGGTGCTCAGCCTCTCCTGCCTGCCAAGCCCGTGCTCAGCGGTGAGCCTGGGTCGAGGTCTGGGTGGCACAGGGCAGCAGCTTTGGGAGAGGTCGAGGGTCTTGGGGAAAGAGTGGGGGGGGGGGGCTGGGTTGAGGGAGGTCTTGGCTTCAGGGGTTCCCCCTCCTCTCCCCCTCCCTCTCTCAGCAGTTCTCTCCTGTGAGCGCCATGGAGCCCTTGGGTCTGCAGGTACTGGGGAATGAGAGGCAGGCTGGGGAGGAAGGTCCCCAGGGGCCTCCCCTGTGGCTGGTGCAGGGTGGGGGGCTGTGGGAAGGGCTACTCTCCATCTGCTTCCTCCCTCCTTCAGCTAATGGACGGGCAGGCCCAGGAGAAACTGCCCCCACTTTCCCTCCTCAAGCTGGGCAACCAGGTACAACCAGGTGGGGCTGGGGAAGAGTGGGCGGGACCCGCGGGAGGAAGGCAGATCCGAAGGGCAAGGAAACGGGGAGGGGAAGGTGGCAGTGAGGCTGAGGCCTGAAGGGAGAGGATGGGAGGGATCCGAGGGAGGGACCTAGCCCCCAGAATGCCATTGCCCATGTCTGGACCGAGACAAGGCCTGCTGTCCCCAGGGGCTTTGAAGGAAATCTTCAATACAGAGCTGAGCCCTTGACCCCATTGCTCCTCCCCCGCCATCTGTCCCTGCAGGAACCAGGTGGCCAGATTGCCCCGAAGAAGGCCCCAGGAGACTGCAAGTCGTCCCCAACCCCGGAGCAGACACGCAGGCTGGCCCGGGCCATGATGACCTTCACCACAGACCTCTTCTCCCTGGTGGCCCAAAGCTCCACCAGGCCCAACCTCATCCTGTCGCCTCTGAGTGTGGCTCTGGCACTGTCTCACGTGGCACTAGGTACTGGGGCAGCAGACCAGGAGAGCAGGCCAGTAGGAACTCGTCTCCTTCCCCAGAGCTTACTAGCGGGTGCTTCCTCCATCCGGGTCTCTTGAAAGTTTGTTTAAAACACAGATTCCTGTCTCCGTGAATCAGAGTCTCAGGGACTGGGCCCAGGATGGGCCTCTGGTGATTTTTATGCAAGAGTCTGGCAGTTCCAACATCTCTTTTGGACTGGAGGGTCTCGCGGTGGGACAGAGTCCAGAGAGGGAAGGCGATGAGATGAGGTCACCCAGACTGGCAGCAGCAGCAGAGATGGAAGTAAAACTTGGGTGTCCTGACCCTCAGGAGGTGGGAGGAGACAGTGTGGTCTCATGGGCATACTCATTGTCGGTATTCAAGGGGGACAGGAGCACTTCCCTGGCGGTCCAGCACTTAAGACTCTGCGCTTTCACTGCAGGGGACATGGGTTCAATCCCTGGTCTGGGAACTAAGATCCTGCAATGCTGCAAGGCACAGCTCCCCGGCACCCCCCCCAGCCCCCCGCAAAAAAAAGATTAGGAAAAGACGTGGGGGTGGGAATACCCACTGCTGCTGTGTCCTCCCCGCTCAGGTGCTCAGAACCAAACGCTGCAAAGGCTGAAACAGGTGCTGCACGCAGACTCAGGGCCCTGCCTCCCCCACCTGCTCAGCCGCCTCTGCCAGGACCTGGGGCCTGGGGCTTTCCGGTTGGCTGCCAGAATGTACCTGCAGAAAGGTAGGTTGGGTGATGACAGACACTCCCTAGATAGCTAAGTAGTGCTCTGGGGTGGACAGGGTGAGGGAGACGGGCATGGGCTCAGGCAGTTGGTTGGAACGCTGGTGGCTCTGGAGCCCAAGTCCTGGCAACAGCCTGCGCTCCCTTCTGTGTAGGATTTCCCATCAAAGAGGACTTCCTGGAACAATCAGAACAGCTTTTTGGTTCAAAGCCCATGAGCCTGACGGGAAGGAAAGGGGAGGACCTGGCAAACATCAACCAGTGGGTGAAGGAGGCCACGGAGGGGAAGATCGAGGATTTCCTTTCAGATCTGCCAGATGACACAGTGTTGCTTCTCCTCAATGCCATCCATTTCCAGGGTGAGCTCCTCCCCTTCTCGGGTCCCTGCCTGCAGCCCCTACCCCTGCCCTGTAGGCATGTTTTGTTCTGAGGGTTCCTCCTTCTCCCCAGGGCTAGGCTGGGAGGCGGTGGGGAGGGTAGGAGACAGGTCACAAGTGTTGCTGGGAGGAGGCCCAGGAGCTGGATGGGACTTTCTCGGAGAGTTCCCTAGGAGGAGCGCATGGCAACCCACTCCAGTATTCTTGCCTGGAGAATCCCCATGGACAGAGGAGCCTGGCGGGCTACAGTCCATGAAGTCGCAAAGAGTCAGACATGACTGAGCGACTAAGCACAGCACAGCCCTAGGAGTAGTAGTCATAGTAGCAGCGTCAGTCATGTCCAACTCTTTGTGACAGCGTGGACTGTAGCCCGCCAGGCTCCTCTGTCCATGGGATTCTCCAGCCAAGAATATTGTCTTCAGAGGATCTTCCCAATCCAGGAACTGAACCCGGGTCTTCTGCATTGCAGGCAGATTCTTTACCGTCTGAACTATAGGGAAGTCCTCCCTAGGAAGAAATGAAGTCTAAAAAAACCTGGGGTGATGGGGGGATGTTCCTGGGAGCAGAGCAGGGTAGGGGGAATGGAAGCCCAGATTCTGCAATCGCTCCAGAGAAGACACCTCAGATCACTTGGGTATTGCCTGGCACACCACTGCCTGGTGCCTTACCCTCCACCATTTGTCCCTTTAATGGGTTCTGGGTGGAACGGAGAAGAAGCTGGTAGTGTAAACCCTACCTTGGTCCCAGTCTAAACGGCCCTGCCCTCTGTTGGATGCAGGCTTCTGGAGGAGCAAGTTCGACCCAAACCTCACACAGAGAGGCACTTTCCACCTGGACGAGCAGTTCACGGTGCCGGTGGACATGATGCAAGCCCTCACATATCCACTGCACTGGTTCCTGCTGGAGCAGCCTGAGATCCAGGTTACCCTTGACTGCTCAGGCCAGGCCTGGGTGCTGGGAGGTGGGGAAGGAACTGTGCAGCTGTGGGCCACCATAGGGCGCAACAGTGCACCCCATCTTCCTTGCAATCTTTTCACTGGGGCAGGTGGCTATGAAAAGTCTCTCTGGGTCCTCACCCAGGGGGACTGAGGCTTGAGTCTCTTTGAGGTTCATTCATTGGGCATTAGCTGTGTGCAGACTCTGTCCCAGGCACTGTGGATCAGTGGAGAACAAGGAAAACCAAATCCAGAGAAGACGCGCAGTGCATGAGCAAACATAGATCAACAGGATAATTTCAAAGAGTCGGGGGAGGTATTTTAGCTAGAGTGGTCAGAGAGCCTTCTTTGAGGAAGGGACATTGTTGAGACCCCTTTGGCTGTGGGGATTCATTTCAAGGACCTGTGGATTGTGGGGCAGCACAGGGCCTCAGCCACCCGAAGCCTTTGAGATGCGACTTGAGCTTTCACGCATGCTCCTTAGAAGGGAGGGTCTGATTGGGAAGGCTTCGTCAGCTTCCTGATGGAGCGTTCTGATTAGAGAGAGTACTATGCCTGGCTATCTCAGATGCAGCCTCCCTTGCTTCTAGCCTAAACATGGTCCCCTTGGCCTGAGCGAGCACTGGTGTCTGGGCCAGTCAACTGAGATGGCAGTGTTGGTTAATTTCACAAGGCCACGACTGAGAGGGGCTGTGGGCAAGATGGGCCCCCTGGAACAGTGTCCCGGCTTCTCTCCAGTTTACCCTGACACATGGACCGTCTGGTTCACCTCCCCACCAGTGCCTTTCCTGTTGTCCTCCCCACCAGGCTGTGTCCTGCCCACACTTCCTTCACCCTTTAATTTTTAAAATTTTTTGTCTGCGCTACTTGGCATGTGGAATCTCAGTTCCTCAACCAGGCATCGAACCTTTGTACTGGAAGCACGAAGTCTTAACCACTGGACCACTAGGGAAGTCCCTTCCTTCATCCTTTAGTCTCCATCCTTTGCCCTCCTTGGCCCTCCTCTTCCTCACGCCCTCTGCAGGCCGGCCCAGGCAGCCAGATGCTGGCACTCCCCCTCCCACAGAAGGGGTCCTGCCCCCTGGGTGCTCTGCCTGGAGCCCGAGGAATCACATCCACTAGGGCCTGTGGAGCCCACTGGTTTTCACCCTTCTTGAGCTGCAGAAACTCCCATTCACATGAAATCTTACCCCAAATCACAGTATAAATAGGCAGCCGGGCAAGTCACTGTTGGAGGAAAAAGGAATAGAGAGGGTACCACCCTCCACCAGGGAAACCTGGCCCATTGTACACAGGGAGGAAGCGAGAGGTGGACACCGGGAGTTCCTCATCCCGAGTCACGGGTTGGCTGGCACCACAGGAAGAGAGAAAACCACCATTTATTGAGTGAGCACCGCCTATGTGCAAACACTCTGCTAGAAGCTTTAACAGTGTATCTCTCTCCGTCACATGTCAGCGGGCAGTGTGGGCAGGTAGTGCTACTCTGCCCATGAGAAGTGGAGGCTCAGGGAGGGGGGCCCCCCTCCCCCACACACCTGTGAAGGATGGGCTGTCTCATAAGGGATGCTGGCCCAGCCCCCACCTGGGCCTCGGTGCTTCTGGCCCTCATGGTGTTTCCTTCCCCTGTCTGTAGGTGGCTCATTTCCCTTTTAAGAACAACATGAGCTTCGTGGTCCTGATGCCCACCGGCTTTGAGTGGAACGTGTCCCAGGTGCTGGCTAACCTGACCTGGGACATTCTGCACCAGCCCTCACTGCGGGAGAGGCCCACCAAGGTCCAGCTGCCTAAGCTGCGTCTCAAATACCAACTGGACCTGGTGGCCACCCTTGGCCAGCTGGGTAAGGAGGCTGGGCATGGGACAGCCCCCCTCTCAGGCTAGGTGGGGCGGGTGAGGAGAAAGCTTCCAGCTGGCAGGTCAGAGTCAGAGCTATCCTTGTATCCTGGCCTTTTCTGGGGCTTAGGGAGGTGAGAGCCTTTGGCTCCTCTGTCCTGGGGAGGGGTGGGTGGCCCAGCCATGGAGGGCCTGCTCTACCCAGGACTGAACTCTGTAAAGTGTCCTGAGTGGAGAGCCAGAGTGGCACATGAGCCTCCCTGGCCCCCCTGCAAGAGGCACGGCAAGCCCACCACGTACAAGGAGCTCAGTCTTATGGGGTGGGCAGATGAGGAGTCAGGTACTTACAATTCAGCATAAGTGTTAAGATAGAAGGCTTCTCTCCACTTCACCTGGGAGAACATCAGAAAGGCACCAGGCACCTGTCTGGACTTTGGGGCAGGGAATCAGGGAAGGCTTCCTGGAGGAAGGGGCCTTTAAGCTGATACATGAAGGTTAAATAGGAGTTAACTAGCCCTCTGTGAGTTCAAGGTGCTCCCTGACCAGGATGCCAGACACCCTCCCAGGCAGGTCCAGGCAGCCTGTGGGGCAGAAGGCAGCCCTGACCAGCCATCTGCTGCCCCGGGGCAGGCCTGCAGGAGTTATTCCAGGCCCCGGACCTGCGTGGGATCTCCGACGAGAGGCTGGTGGTGTCCAGCGTGCAGCATCAGTCCGCGCTGGAGCTCAGCGAGGCCGGCGTGGAGGCGGCCGCGGCAACCAGCACGGCCATGTCCCGCATGTCCCTGTCCTCCTTCATCGTGAACCGCCCCTTCCTCTTCTTCATCCTCGAGGACAGCACGAGCCTGCCCCTCTTCGTGGGCAGTGTGAGGAACCCCAACCCTAGCGCGCAGCCGGAACGCAAGGAGCAGCAGGACTCCCCCGACGGCAGGGACTCTTTCCAGGATCACAAAGGCCTCCCCCGCGGAGACAAGCCCTTCGACCCAGACTTGAAACTTGGGCCCCCCTCGGAAGAGGATTACCCTCAGCCCAGCAGCCCCAAGTGAGGGGCTGTGGCCTCTAGCAACCCGAGTCCCTGCTCGGACCAAGCTCTCAACTCGTGTGACTCTTTCCAAAAACAGCTTTGTGGGACTGGGGCTGGGGGCCTGGGGAGGGCAGTCTGGGAGAAGGGAGGAAGGGAGCCGTTCTCTTGCCTCCTCTTGGGGAGTTTGGGGTGGGGTGGCGCTGGGAGGAGGGTAGGCATCAGGGAACCATGGGCCTCGGTCCCACATCGCTTCTTCCAACGGGGCCCGGAGGGTGTCCTGGTTTGGGGCTCAGACAGAGGGGCAGCGGTGGATCGTTTTGTCGGGAAGGTAGGTGGGTTATTCCCTAGGGCAGCTGTGCGCCTCCACACCTGTTTATCAGAGAGGGAGGGGCAGGGAGGAGGGGACACCCTGGCCGAGGAGAGGGGGCGGCCGTCTTGAGGTTGCACAATATGGGTGGAGTTTGAGCTCCCCGCACCACTGCCTCCGTCTGACCTGAGCTGCCCAGGGCCCGCCAGCCTCCCGCCCACTGTCACCTCAGTCTCCCCGCTGGTCCTTGGAGGTCCCAACACTGCCAAGACTCCTTCCTTCTCCCCTCTGCCCCCTCTGCGCGGCGTCTCAGCAGCTGAAAGGGTGGGGGAGTGGGGGGCATTAGCTCTCGAAGGCTCTTTTGTAAAGTTTTTGTAGTGATTTTTACACCACCTGAATAAAGAATGAATGGGCCTGTCTGCTTTGATGTCACTGTTCAGGGAATGGGTGGGAGCTCGGGGGTGCTGGGGGAAGGCGGGAATGAGGCCACCGAGCAGACACGCGGAGAACCAGGCTGGGCTCTGGGGCGCAGCCCTGCCGGTGCCACGTCTGGCCTCTGGCCGCCCGCCAGACCTTGTCCAGCGTGCAGGCCCTCTGACCTCGCCAGCCTGGCCCTGCTCTCAGCCTGGTCCTCTCTCTGGGCCTCAGGCAGCCGGCAACAAAGGAGGCCCAGAATAGCGCCAGCCTCCTGGTTTGGGAGAAGAACTGGCAATTAGGGAGCTTGAGGAATTTCTAATTACACGCCAGCCCCCTCTTTCAGGAGCTGGCGCCCGCCAGCCAGGGAGGCGGGGGAGGAGGCGGCTGGGAGCATGGGCTCCAGCAGGAGACTATCAACGCCTGAGGATTTGGGGGAAGCGACTGGGGGCTCCTGGGGGCAGGGCTGGGGCCACACAGCTGTCCACGCGGGTGGGCGCTTGTCTGTGAGTGCAGGGTGTCTGTGTGGCAGCGGCCACTTGCGGCCCTCTGGTGTAGTGGTGAAGAGCAAGTCCCTAGGACGGGCTCCGGCTTCTAACAAACCAGCAGGGTGGGGAGATGAGAAATAAGTCAACAGTGACATATGGTGTGTGAGAGAGGGATAAGAGCTCTGCTGAGAAGTAAAGCAGGGAAGGCCTCCCTGAGGAGGTGACTTTGGAGCAGAGACTAGGAGGTGAGGGCAGGCACCAGGGGGACATCCTGAAGAAGAGCGTCCCAGGAAGAGGAGTGGGAGCTGCCCAAAAGGTTTAGGATGAGCAGGAGATCCTTGGGGCCGGGGGAGAGAGAGAATTGTAAAGAGATCATTGGAAAGTTATTGGAACAAATCGGCCAGCCCGCCAGCTTAATTATCCCACTCCTGAGTTTTCTTCAGTTTTCTCCCGTCTATTCAGGCTCTAGCCATCATTTGGCTCTAGTCATCACACCCAGGTTCTCCCTGCTGATGCTCTGGCTGCCTTGACTGCGTCTTCTGCCCTGTAAATACTTGTCAGGTGCCTCTGCTGGGTCCAGCAGCACCCCAAGTTCTGGGGCTGCAGCGATGAAAAAGCCGACAAGATCCTCCCCCGCAGAACCTAAATCTGGTGGTGAACTGGTCTAGTCCAGCAGTCCCCCACCTCTGGGATCTAATGCCTGATGATCTGAGGTGGAGTTGATGTAATAATAATAAAGTGCACAAGAAATGTAATGTGCTTGAATCATCCCAAAATCAGCCCCCCACCCCCCTAGGTCCGTGGAAAAACTATCTTTCACAAAACCACTACCAGGTACCAAAAAGGTTAGAGATGCTGGTCTAGACAATAAACAAGTTAAAATTTTGGATTGAAGTATAGGGCTTCCCAGGTGGCTCAGTGGGTGAAGACTCCATCTGCAATGCTGGAGATACAGGAGATGCTGGTTTGATCCCTGGGTCAGGAAGATCCCCTGGAGGAGGGCACGGCAACCTGCTCCAGTACTCTTGCCTGGAGAATCCCATGGATAGAGGAGCCAGGCAGGCTACAGTTCATAGAGTCACAAAGAATCAGACATGACTTAGCAACTGAGCATGCACGCACGCATAGTATGCTGAAGTGTAATGAGTTGGACAGGACATAGCGATGGAACAACAACAAAAGTGTAATGAATTTGTTTCATGAACTGAGTACCCTTGTGCAACCAGTACCCAGATCAAGAAACAGTACTCACTCTCCTAACTCCTGATAATAGACTAGTTTCTCCTGGTTTTGAACTTGAAATAAAAGAAGCATGCAATCCGTGCTCCCTTGTGCCTGACTCTTTTTCATTCAACCTCCTGTTTGTGAGATTCATCAGTGCCATGTGGATGGCAATTATTCACTCCCTGTGGAAGAATTTAATTGAGGGGCACCATGGTCTGAAGTAAGCTCTGGAAGGCTCATTTGGCTGTTGTGTGAACAGACATCGAGGGACAAACGCAGAAGGAGGGAGGCTGGTTAGCAGGCAAGAGTCGAGTTGTAGGTGGCTTGGCTCAGGGTGCTGGCTGTGGAAGTGCAGGGAAGTGGTCAGGCTTCAGGTATATTGTGCAGGTAGATGTTATAGAATTTGTGCATAGATTGTACTGGAGATGAGGGAAAGGAGAGACTCGCTGATGTGGGGTTCATGATTCAAATCCCCGATTTTTGTCTTGAGAAGATGAGGTTTACTGAGATGGGAATCTGAGTGAGGGACAGACTTTAGGATTGATTGGAGATGTCCATTTTGAACATGACTGAAATGTTACATTAATACAGAGTGACCGTATGTCCTAGTGTGCCCGGGCAGTTGGAGTTATGTCTGTGATTCCAGTTTAATTCACAGCACCTATTTTTGATCTTAGAAGTGTTTGGATGATGAATTATATGCTCCTCTCACTTGCTGGACATCGATGTGGTTATGTCAAAGTCGAGGCTGGAAGTGTGTATTTGGGAACATACAGATGCTTTGAAAGTCACAGACTGACTGATGTCACCTAAGAGGAGATGGAGAGAGAAGAAAGAGGGTCCCAGAATCAAGCCAGCAAGGAAGATGGAAAAGATGGGGCTTGTGAGATGGAAAAAAATAGGAGGATTGTAGGGAGTCAGGGTTTCAAGAAGGAAGAAGAGTTGGCTGCCTGCAGCCAAGCAGAGATGTCTGTTCCTTTGACAGCAGTTTCAAAGGAGAGCTGGGCACAGAAGCAAGCTGGAGGTTGAGGAGGGAAAGCTCTAAGGCTGTGCAGATGCAACGGTAAATAGCTCTGTCCCATGTGGGTGGGAGGGAGGATAGAGAATTGGACAGTAGCTTTAAAGGAGGTGGCAATAAAGGCAGTGCCTTTAAACAGGGGAGTAATAGAGGTTGTTTTAAGGCTGTGGAATGGTCCTTCAGAGAGGGGTACATTGATTATGCAAGAGCGGGGCAACCTATACAGTGCTGCTGTGACATTCTTGCTACGTCCTTGTGCACATATGCAGTCTTTTTGGCTCAAACACTTAGAAGTAGAATAAATTGAGTTGTGGGTTTGTGTTTTCTATCTTTCACTGCCAGGGCTGCCACATACAGTCACTGTTATTATTATTTTGAAATTTTGGCTGCTCCTGGTCGTTGTTGTGGCACGTGGGCTCAGTTGCCCTGCAGCACGTGGGCTCTCAATTCCCCGACCAGGGACTGAACCTGTGTCCCCTGCATTGAATCCTTTTTTTTTTTTAAAAAATATTTACCTTGGAGAAGGAAATGGCAACCCACTCCAGTATTCCTGCCTGGGAAGTGCCATGGACAGAGGAGACTGGAAGGCTACAAAGAGTCGGATATGACTAAAGCGACCAAACAGTCCCACATACACTAATGTACTATGTTAAAAAGAGAAAACAAAATTGAAAACCAGAAAAAAAAATTTATTTGGCTGCACCAGGTCTTAGTTGGGGCACGCAGGGTCTTTTGGTTGTGGCACACAAACTCTTAGTTGTGACATGTGGGATCTGGTTCCCTGACCAGGGATTGAAGCCGGGTCACTAAGCGTGGAGTCTTAGCCCCTGGACTGCCAGGGACGTCCCATACTAAATACGGTTATGACAACTTTGCCGTTTGTTGCCAGATTGTTCTTCAGAGGGGTTGTATCAATTTACAGTCTCATAAGGAGGGCCCAAGAGATCCTAGCTGTCTGCATGCTTACCAGTACTTGGTATTCTCAGACGTTTCAGTTTAGTCCATCTGAAGAGTGTGAAGTACACTCATCAAAGTATGGTTTTAATTTGCATTCCCTTGATTAGCGTGTGAAAAAAACATCTACTCGTAAGTTTATTGGACACTCAGGAATCTTCATCTGTGAATTACCTGGGCCTGTTTTCCTGTTGAATTGTTTTTATTTATGTTTTTATTGATTTGTAATTATTGCTCTGTTACAGTTAGTAATCTTTTTTGTCAGTTATCTGTGCTACAAACATTTTCTCTTCGTGTGAGGCTTGTCTTTTCATTTTGTTTTATGGTACCTGTTCACGAGAACAAGTTTTTAATTTTAGTGCCAAATTTATCAGACTTTCACAATTTGTGCTTCTTTTGGTCTCTTGTCTAAAAAAGCATTCCTATTCAGAGATCACAAAGAAATCCATCTATACATCTTTCTAAAATGTTTACATTTTTTTCCTGTTGTGTATTTCTGTTTGTACTTGCTTTTTTTTTTTTTTTAAATGGAAGAGAAGGAACGAGTGGCTTTATTTCTTTGCCAGGCAAAGGGGAAACACAGTAGGCTAGTGCCTCAAGAACTGTGGCCCCTGAAT